AAAAAATCTGAAAGCCCGGTATATAAACTATATAAATTCAAGGCCGTAGTTAAGAAAAGTCGCCTAACTTCGACAATTTAAATTAAAATTAATTTAATTAAAATAGACTTGATTTTAGATAGTGCTACATATTTTGAAATTATGGAAATTATCGATGGTGAAATTTAAAAAAAATTAAGAGAAATATGGCTTTTTTTTTATTTTACCCGATAAAAAATCCCAACAAACCAAGTCCGACAATAGATTATTATATATACCATTTTAAAGGCCTATATATCCTCTTCTCAGATCATATTCGATCTTTGAAATCGAATCAAAAATAGCCATTCAAAAACTCTTAAATCTACAAAATCGTATTCTCTGAGCTAAATCGACAGATCGCGACCTCTAAATGACCTTTAAAAAATCTATAAAAATAGGCAATAATGTTTCTCATAAAAACGAATAAAATAATAACAAAAACTTGTATAATTTGATTTTTATTTTCTTCGCTCACTTACCCCAGGGAAATTATGAGCTTCATTCATATCCCCGCACTGTTTCCAAGTATTCGAAGATGGATCGTAACATTCAACAGATTTTAAACTGTTTTCATTGATGCCTCCCATAACAAATATTTTGTCATTCAAAGCCACTGCACCAGCCTGACATCGTGGTGTAATCATACTGCTAACTAATTTCCATTTGCTGCCAGGTGAATACCTAAAAACGGTTTGGTATTTAAATTGTTGACGTAATTGATAAATATACATGTATAATGTTCTACAAGGGAATTTAAAGCAAATATAACCAAAAAGTGAAAAGTTTAACCCACTTGGAGTTTTACTACCACATATGGAAGAAAGTGTTTGGACATATTTAATTTGGTTAACTTAAAAAAACTGATATTCTACTGTATTAGAAGAGACAATTTCAACAGAGCGGCGATTTCACAACGCTCCACACGAGTCACGAAAATCACTTGCAACGAAACTCAACACTCCACAGGAACTGAAAATCATGCAAAATGATTATCTTTTTTATTTAACTTGCTCATCCCGCCAAAAATTTCCTTTCGATTTTAAACGAACTTCCCGACAAGCTAGGGACTTTCAGCATAATTGAAATCACGATGACAATGCAATATAAAATACAAATGGATTCCCTAAATGGTCTAGGGGTCTTGATATCAGGGTGGGCCAATCACTGTAAAAGCGTAATTTGCCAAAGAGCGTGAAAAATGCTTCAAGTTCTTTATATCTGCCGGCATAGTAGTATAGTTTCAGGCCCTTGTAGTATGATGGACTCTATTGTGAATCCTTTGGTAAATGAAATACTGGAAATTAGTTTCAAATGTTTTCACATGCCCCCACTGTTAAGTTTCATAACCGGATTTTTAGGACCTAAAAACCTATAAAAAAGGCAAAATAAAATAACGAAATAGGCTAGAAAAGGCAAAATAAAATAGCAAAATAGGCAGGAAAAGGCACTATAAATCGCAAAAAAGCCAAAAGGAGGCATTAAAAAGGCAAAACCTGAAAAATTTCAATCTTTGACTATTTTCTCCTTTCGAGTTTTTAACTCACAAAAAAAAAAAACTTTATTCTCTATAGTTGTAGTAACATTCAACCACAAGATGCATTTTGGAAGTTTTCTGACAGCATTTTCATTCGATTTTCGCGAAGAAAAGCTTTGACTGTACTGAACGTGCGGTCGACGTGAGTTGATACAAGTTGAGCCCAATTTAAATATGGAAAGTTTAAAACCTGCATATTATCAGGAATAAGGGCCTTTCCCTTGCCCTTTACAACTAAAGGCCAGTGTGCAGCTCTCATGAAAACGGACAAGAAAAAAATTGACATCTGATACTTCATCACATGTTGCCTCACTGATCATGTGATACTCACTGGTGATGGAGATCTCAATCAAGTACTTCTATCAACTTTTCCATGTGATCTTCCGTCTTCCTCCGACTTATGGCCTTATTTAGTGGTCTCTTTTTAACCAACGCAAAATTTGCAAATGTGTTAGTAAGATAAATGAGAATGTGTTAGTTTTCATCACACAATTCTTGTAGGGTTTCTTTTGAATACGCTTACGTTCTGCACTTCACATATGCTTTTTCATACTTCCAAGACATAAATTGTTTTTTTTTTTGAGTAACATATAATTTTTAGCAAAAAAAACCGACTTCAATCCTCATATAAAAAAAATATATATATATATATATATATATATATATATATCTCATGATCCAATGATCGGATCTAAACCAGATTAGTATGGGACCACCTCTTCTGAGACACTACCTTTCCGCTGCAAAAAGAGTTATCGAAATCGGTTGACGTGGTCCAAAGTTATGCGGTAACATACATACAAAAAATAAAAATAAAAAAAATATTCCGACGATCTGATAACCTCCTCCTTTTTTGGAAGTCGGTTAAAAAGAGTATCAAAATTCGAAACCTTTACTCATTACATTTGTTTTAAAGTAGTCTTTCAATTAGTTGATTTAAAAAGTCATTGGTTTCCGTCAGGGACGTTTAAAAAAAAAATAAGTGGTCTGTACATAAAAAAAACAGCGATTCAGATGTTGCATTTTTAATGTATGTACATATGCTCGAGATAATATGTGTTAACTTTTACACATTAGTATAAACCGCACAATTACATCTCGTCGCTTGGCGCGTAATACCTCGTATCCGCCAAATGCAATACCACGTATGAGGTGGCATAGAAAAAACTGTATTTTGGTTACCCTGTCTCAATGCTTCCCTACTTCATGATACGAGGTATTGCGCGCCAAGCGACGATATACATAAAAGTAAACTTCACAGCACTGCAAAGATTCAGGTACATTCGATACACTGAGCTCAATTTAGGTACAATTAGACGATAGCCAAATAAATATCCATATTAAATATGAAAAAAAAATAAGAAAATTTTTCTAAACAAGGAACATTGTGAACATGTCATTGAGGCAACAAGAAATCTTTGCAAAGTGGCCAAGTTCCTTTATTAAATTCTTTGTGAACAATGAAAAACTTCTCACATTTTGAGGCTCAATTTATTATTCCGTTAGGGACTACTACCTAGGACCACTTCTTAAAAGAGTTAGAAAGCAAATCAATGTATATATTCCAATTGACCGATCAATTTTCAGTCAGGATGGTGTACTTCTGTGTTGCTAACTGTTTGCGATTCAGAGCCAACATATTGAAAAAAAAACAAATTGTGCAAACTACAGTAATTTTCTTAAATACTTTTTAAGTACTTTCACTTTTAGTATATTTTTGAATAATTATGTAATTCTCAAACATCTAAACTCAAATGTAACTACCCTGCAAACCATTTTTTCAGAGTATTTGAATTGTAGAGAAATTTTGAAGAATTCGTAAAGATCTCGTCCGATTTTTTTCCGAATTTTCTAGAATGAAATAAACTGTGCAGACAGGTAAAAAAAATAGATTGCCGATGTAATTGAGAAGGTTAGCAGATTTCGTTAGAAAAACTTATTGTTTCGTGTATAATACATTTATTTTTCATACATACTATGTGCATATATACATATATTTCTTGAAAACTATTCATTTAATCAAATTTCGAAAAAATATTATTTCTGCAGTGAAAACATGGCCATTCGTTTTAAATTTCGTGAAATGAAATCGTTTATGAGCTCGTGGATAAGAATGCAATATTGCTACAGGAAAAATTTTAGTGAAAATCGACAGAAAAACCCAAAAAAGGTAGGTCTAGAGGTGGGCTTTTTGATTCTAAAGGTGAAGACCCCACCCCACACACTCTTATAGTTTTTAATTTGTTGTTAAAGTTGCAAAATTCACCAAATATGTTGATGCAAATTTCATCGATTTCATCATCCAAAATAGGTAAATGTGACTTAATTGTAAACTCTTTTACCGCACATCACCATTTTCTTTTAAGTAATAGGCTACTTTTGTTGATTGCAAACAATTTAAACAACAAATTATAAATACTAGTATTAACAAAGTGAAAATAGTGAGAATTTATGTAACGATATCTGTTTCTTAGCATCCTCATAAAGTTTCATGAAAAAATTCGCGACAATTTTGCTAAAACACACACTTGTCGATGTACACTAAAGTCAACCCTTGCTGCATGGTTGAGCCGTTTTTAATGTATTCTCCAGCGCAAATAATTTTTCACTCTACGCAAAACAGAATAGCTCCTCTCGTTAGAGCATGATGACCCTGGAATTGTAACAAGTAATCTAATGAAGCGTACATATTCAAAAACAAGTTCCACACACAGTTCGTTTTCACGCAAAAATTGCATACCATATTTCACAGATTCTGGACTGTGCTCTGCGCGCCATATCTTTATCGCTATTGAGTCTGCATTCGTCAAAATCACCATTATAAAACGTGACATTTTCTTCAAATCTACTGTCTCACCCACAAAGAATGAACTTTTCTTAAGTTATATAAAACGTTGCCGATTTACTATCAAATCTACTTGTCAGGGAGCAAATAACTTGGTCAAAAATTTCATAATACATTTTCCGAAAATACTCTTCAGGTGTGGTAAATACAGGATTTTCAATTGAATTTTTATTTTTTTTTAATATTCAGGTGGGTAATTACCCACCTATAAAAATTTCAGGTGGGTAGTACTACCCACCATACCCACGTCTTCCGCCGCCCCTGCTGTGCACACTTCGATTCTTTTACGAAATTTCGGAAGAAAATCGGTGTAGCAATGAAAATAATGCTGCTATCTTAAAGAATTCGTAAAGATTCCATTATTATCTTTCCTATTTTTTGCCGAATTTTCTAAGATGGAAGGTATTCTGCACACTTCGATTCTTTTAGGAAATTTCACAAGAAAATCAATAATATAATGATAATAATGTCACAATCTACATTGAAAATATAATAAAATTCTGACGCACAAAAAAATGTTTTTGTGATTTTGTGCTATAAACGCGTTTATTAGTAAAAAACGAAATTTGAATAAATAAGAATAAGCCAAAAAGGTAAGTTTAATATTGCGATTAATGCTGCAATATCTTTAAATAAGATTACTTTATTCACAGATTCCTGTGTGCTAAGCTGGATAACACTGAAGCTAGCATTAAACGATTTTTCAACTCTGCAAAGGACCGCGTTAAGAAGCGACATCATGCAGTTTACCCGCAGACCTAAATGTTTCACGCAATTGTCGAGGACATGAGTCCAAACATAATAGAATTCTAAATTTTTAAATTTAACTTTTTTCTAATTTTTACATTCAAAGCAAATATCTACCTTAAACATGTTGTATTTACCTACTTTATACCATGAAATACTTAGCTTTTACTAAAATTTTGAATACTTACCCTTTGAACGCTTAAAATTTATATTTATCACCTTATTGTACATTTACTTACCTTAAACCTTGAAAACTATTGTGAATTCTTTTGTAGCTAACATTAAGCTGCCTCATAGGCAAACGAGGATTTTGTAATTATTCGTTCGCTACCCTCGCAAACAGCCGGATAGAAATTGAAATCCCTCTCTCTATCTAAACTCGAATCTTATACATTTCATACAGTATATAAACGAATAAACTTTAGCAATTAATTTCCAAAAATTTCCGTGTCTAATTTCTTTCAAAAGGTTGGCAAAATATTCTTAGAGACATCTTTTAGAATTTTCCTTTGGAAACTGAACAACATATTTTTAAAGAAATCCTTTAGAATTTTCATTCTGAAATTTAACAAAATATTCCTAAAGAAATCTTAGAATTTTAATTAAAAAATCCTACAGATATTTCTTTACGAGTTCGTGTCAACCCCTTCATACGATTTTCTTCAAATTCAAATTTTCTTTCAAAATTCGTAAAGAAATCATTACAGAATTCGAAACACATTTCCGAGTTTCTTTAAGATTTCGTTAAGATTATGGAAACTTTGGTTTGCAGGGTATTATATATTATAAAATGAATGTATGAGTGATACCGAATAAAATTATACCTGTTTTTTTATTAAACAATATTTAGAGGTCGCCCAAAGCGCTCAGAGTTTTCCATGCATTTTATATGGGGGAAAAACAAGTTTTCGTAGAAATGGTATAGACTTCTTGAATTCTCTTTAGGAGACTGCCAATAATAATATCTAATTGTTTATTTTACAATTTTTTAATAAAATTTTTGAGGGTTTTAGGGGTCCTTTAAGAAATAGTTGATAATAGAAAATGGTTAAATAAACAATTGGGTAATATTATCGAAAATCTCCAAAAGAGAAACAAAGTTTTCCGATCGAGAAATATTAATTCTCAAGAATTATAACGCATTTCTACGAAAACTTGTTTTTCCCCATATAAAATGCACTTGAGTGCTTTGAGCGACCCCTAAATATTTTTTGATTTCCATATAAAAACTACTTTTTTCGGTATAGGCTAGAGGGTGAGAGCAATAAAATTTCGACTTTCTTTTTTTTGGAGCACTCCAATGTACATACATATATGTATCTTTATTGAATTGTTATGAATATTAAATGATTCAACTGTACTGATACACTGACGAACAAAAGTATTGGCACAGTGAATTTTTTGCAATATATGCAAAGTTTTTTATTCTAATTAATTTTCGATAATTTTGTATAAAAATATAGTTCATTTTACACCAGAAAACGTAATAATAAAATCTCTAAACTTTGTGCAAAACTCAGGAAAATTCTTTAAATTTGCACACTAATTTGCAACTTTTTATTCAGATTTTTAAAAAAAATTCAAAGTATGCAGTTTTATAGCCCATTCAAATTTAGTATAACAAAGTGCAAGTTTAAAGTTGCTAGAAAATCGCGTTGATTTTTGGCAATTTTTTTTTGTGGAAGGTGTTGCTCATTTTCTCCATACAAAAAATAAGTGTGGAATTACTTTGTATGCAAGAACTTGCGTGAAAAAAAAATTACCAAAAATCAATGCGATTTTCTAGCGACTTCAAACTTGCACTTTGTTGCACTAAATTTGAATGGGCTATAAAACTGCATACTTAGAATTTTTCTAAAAAATCTGAATAAAAAGTTGAAAATTAGTGTGCAAATTTAATGAATTTTCCTGAGTTTTGCACAAAGTTTAGAGATTTTATTATTATGTTTTCTGGTGTAGAATGAACAATATTTTTATAAAAAATTTTCGAAAATAAATTAGAATAAAGAACTTTGCATATATTGCAAAAAATTCACTGTGCCAATACTTCTGTTCGGCACGGTATATTAATCCCTTTCTTATTAATGCCAATAATGTATAAATGTATTAAATTGTTACCAATTGTCAGAAAAAAAAAAATTAGCAAAATCGTGAGCTACTTTTTAGGTACATTTGACAGCAAAAAGGTACATTTCTATTGTCAAATCAGGTACAATTTGAAATTTCGATTTTCCACCCCTGGAGCGCACCCTTAATGATGAGGGAAGAGACTTTGACTTTTCATCCACACAGCTGGTTGCTTTGACAACGCTCAGCGCTACAATTTGGCCATAAAAGCTTTCAAAGTCAAGCAAAGCAAAGCAAGTACAGCGAGCAAAGCAAAGCTTTTCATACATAATGTGCAGCTTCAATATTTTGTTATGTCAGCGGTAACCGTGGGCGTGCTCAAACCGATCTTAAATTTTGAACGATTATTACCTAGCCTATGAATATTAGGTTTGTTCCATAAGCTACTCGAAGTCACTTCGAGTTACACATACGCGTTCCACAATTAAGTTTTAGAGTATCTTTGATATACGCTCACAGTTTCCACTTTGCTCGAGTTTTTCTACAAGTAGCTGGTGGAACAAACCTATTATGTGCTAAGTTACAACTTTGTAGCTGCATTGGTTGAATTTATGACAAAAATTCAAAAATTGGGACCAGTCTGTCATGTTAAAAATGAAGACACATTTTCTTCTAATTAGTTATGGTTAACCGATAGAGCTATGACATTTTTACACATTCTAGAAGAGGTGGCGCTGCTCTTACTTGTTTTGTTTAATGTTTTTTTTTTTTATTAATCACGTGCCGTCTTCGTATGCGCGAGGCATCGACACGCGCTGGATGTGTAGATATTAAATAAGATGCGATTGACAGCTGAACAAGTTGCAACCGTACTAAAAAGTAATATATAATTGCGCATCTGGTGACCAAACCCTTTCATTTGACACCTCATTTCTTGTAATCTAACGAACAGTCCACATTTTTTAATTTTTCGCCCAGGTTGCAACCCTCTTCAAAAAATAAAACCTTACTGCAAATCGGAAGGTCAAGCCTTTTCCTTTGACACCTCTTGTTTTTTGATTGAATGAACTGTGCAAGTCTAATGTCATTAACAAAAAATGTCCTCGTGTTGTATAAATACATAATTTTTAAATAGGTGGCAACCCCACTCAAACAAAAAATTAAAACTTATTACACATGCAGAGACCATATACTTTCACTTGGTACCTCAGTTTTTAGTCCAACAAACGGTGAAGATCTTTAATTTTTAAAAAGTGGCAACTCTACTCAAAAAGTAATACACTATTGAACATGTAAAAGCCGAGCCCTTTTATTTGAAACCTCATTTCTTGTGCCAAACGAACAGTGCGGATTTAATAATTTTTTGACAGGTGGCAACCCTATAGAAATTTAAAGTACTAAAGATAATACTTAAAAAATCTCGTATAAATACGTTCAGTAGTTTTTGAGATTAGCGTGGTCAAAATATCTCCACTTTCCTTTATACTATGTATAGATCACTTTCAAAAGCACCTGGTATTTACATACATTTGTTATTTGTGATGTATACGTTCCTCAATCACATTTTTTTTTTAATAAAATTTAAAAAATGTTTACTTTAAAATTTGTCTGATTTAATAAATATCGCTAGCTTAGAGTGCAAAGTTGCTAAGTCCCAATTTAAAAATTGTAAAGGAGAGGAAAAAACTTCTTGTAGACATTTACTTCAAGTATTTCGCAAAACTGTGAATACAAAAATTTGCCTGTTTAAACCAAAGCAAAACTCCATACGAATCAGAGGGATTTGATCTTCATTAAAAAATTTAGAGCTATCGAATTTTCTGAGCTTTTTTTGCTATTAGCAAATTTTCCTTTCATTGAATATAAACGAGAAAACATAAAACAAGGTCCTTTACCCTTTTCGAAACGATGCATTTTTAATTTACGTAGTCTCCTGTATCAAAATATGATTTTTCATACAAAGTGAAGTTAGCAGCTTTTCACTCTAAGCTAGCGATATATGATTTTTACAATCAGTTTATCGTAAATTTTAAATAGTTTTATTTCAAGGTATGTTTCAGGTATTGAATTTTTCCTCATATTCATAAGAGTTATGACTCAATGTGAATCCCGACATCCCGGGATTACTTAAAAAATATCCCGAAATCCTGGGATCACAATTTTCCTCATATTTTGGCATCTCTAGTGTATATAGTTGGGGTTTGCCCGAGCTAAGACTACTTTACTTGCTAAGTTTTTAATATTTACATACATTAATTGGGTACTTTAAACAAATATTTCAAAGGATTTTGTTTGATACTAAAAAACACATAAAATATTACCTTCTTCGTAAGGAAATATTAAAAGTGCTTCATATTTTTATAAATACTTACTTTTCTACAGACTTTGTACATTTTCCATCTGGGATTTTTCCACCAATTGCGTATACATTTCCATTCAATAGAACAACACTTGGCCGCCTTCGTACCTGAATCATTGAAGGCAATGTCCTCCACGTTTTAGTTTTTAAGCTCCAGCTTTTAACACCGCTAGTTATTTCGTCATCTCGTACACCACCAATGAAAATAATATTGTCTTCCATAAGAACCATGCCGTATCTGTTTGCATCATGTTCGAATTCAGCGTAGTTTTGCCATTCATCTTCCGTTTGGTCATATTGAAAAATTGTTCCTTTTGTTTCCTGCATTATATATGTACATACATACATATATTTGTATTTTAAGAAAATATTAAAAAAATGTCTAGGGTAGAAAAGCTACATCAAACGCAGTTAAACCTACATTTTACATGAGGGCTATGTTTTAGCGAAGCATACATGCCATGCTCTTTGTGACAATAAAAACTACATACACCAATTATTTTGTAGTTTGAAGTGTTTTCCATTAGGTCTACTCCGCACGTTAACGATTTTGTATTACTTCCAACAATCGTTGCCAATAAAACGTTACCACTTCTTTTTGTGGTTTGGCGCTGTAGCCACTTAAGCGATTTTGGAAGAACAACGAACTCTAGCCCCAAACAAACAAATTTCCTAACATTAGAGAAATATTTTGATTTTACATTAGAATGTAATGTATGTAGTTCTCGAATCGAAAATCAGGACAGAGAATTATGTTAGAATTCGATTAGAGAAGGATTAGAAAAACACGAGATATTAGTAACCGTTTAGAATTCGACGCTAGAATACGATTACATATCTAACCATTTTCTCGATATTGGGAACTAAGTCCCCTTTTGTAGAGAATGCTACAATTCTCGATAGTTTACTCTAATCGTAATTTAACCTTCTACCTTAGCGAAACACATTCGAATTCTAATCGTTCTCTAGCCAATTAGAAATTTCATGTTTTTCGTGATTCTATCTTAAAAAGACATCTCTAAAAATCTCAATTTTTGATTCATTTTGATCGCATAAAGTGAGGGAACAGCTTTAACAGCTCATATAGCTAAAATTGCGATTCCAGCGTATGTTGCATCGCTAAAAATTTCTATTTTTCGCCTAAAAAAGTTAAAAATTGGCGACGAGAAAAAGTTGCTGCTACAAAAATGTATCAACAAATCACAGCTAATCTTTCTATTGCTGTTTGTTTAACTACTCAGCTATATAGAAAAAAAACTTTTTAATTAATAAGAAAAATGGAAAACAGCCATGGTACAATAAAACAGGTAGAAGCCAATTTGACGTCAAACCTACAAAAGTCAAAGTTTTCGGGAGAGTAAAAATAAAAATGAGCATGTGTAAGGAAAAATAAAAAATACATTTCACTGGTTGACGTTTTTAAGTATATTTGAAGTTTATTCTTATTTATTTATTTTCTTTAGTTAAAATTTGATAAAACGTGTATGTTGTTTTCTGTTTTTGTTTTATGAGTTGCTGTGTTGTTGGAGGGACTTTTCGGCATAAGGGTCATAGGAACAGCACTTGGCTTCAAACGTGCCTTTCCTGTACCTCCCGGTGTATTTGTGGAATCTACTTCTTTAAAATGTTTAACGCACAGCAAGGAATTTCACTGCAGCTCTGCCCACAGCTGCTTTCGCAACGTTCCTTACGCGAAGGACATTGAGGCACGTTAAAAAATTAGTGGTATCTGCCTTATATTTAACACCACATAAAAAACAACGCTTCAGGTGTTGCATTTTTAACACATACACTAAGTATAAACCGCACAACACTACAAAAATTCAAATGCAAATTAATGCTTGAAACACAATACCCGGCGAACGGCAAATTTCGCCCAGCAGAGCGATGCCGACCAGTGATGCCAGATATTCTCTGTTAAAAATCCCACGAAAATGGGGAAAAAATCCCTCAATTACCCACAGCTTAAAAATTTATCCCACAAAATTCCCAACGAATTTAAACATATACATGTTTCAGTAGTAAAGAAGTAAAATTCATATAAAATAATAATAATAATAATTGGCGCTTACACATATGTGCTTCTCCGCCAATTTGTGGCGTGCCCCTTGATGTTGTCACACAAAGGGGAGGGACCTACAGTTTTACGCCGACTCTGAATGGCGAGTGTATTTTGATGAGAAGCTGTTTTTCATGGCAGGAATATACTCGGAGATTTGCCATTGCCTGCCGGCTTCACTGTCATTTTTTTTCTCACTCACTAAGGGCCTAAAAAAATTTTTTGGTGACTTTAAAATTGAAGCACATTCATGTGCTATTAACCATTTCATCAGATAATTTGTTCCGCTTTTTACATGAAACACCAGATACAACTGAAAATATTCTTTCTTACTCAGCGCTTGAATTGGTTAACGTAAGAAAATTTTCGAAATTGTCCTTATACTTTTTAACAATTATATACCATTTCACTCCACATCACATCTTCAGAAAGATTAATTACCTAAGAATGTCGAATATTCTTGAATTTGGATCAATTATGCAACAATAACTGCATCAAAAGAAAATCCCTTATTTGTTTGAAATGTCCCTCTTTTCCTTTTCAATAATTTTTGTTGCAAAATATCCCTCAAATAGGGAAATTACCCACAATCTGGCATCACTGATGCCGACGACCAACTTTCGCCCTGCTAATTCGCTTAATGAAACACAAATAGAGCGATATCGAGCGGTTCGAATGCTGTCAGCTGATAAGGTGACCATGTTTCAAGAAGGAAGCTTTTACAACGAAGAGGGAAAATACCAGCAAGAAGAAGTTTACAATATAGAAATAGTCTTTAAATATAACTACTAGTAAACTTACGTTTTACTAGATTAATCTCTGATAGAAAAATATAGGGTATATTATTTTACTTTTAAACAAAAATTACGATAACTTTTAAAGTATGGTCATCATGGCTTTTTTTGTCGTTGCCGTTGACCGCGGCGATAGAAATAAATCTATCGTCGCGAACAGTCGTCGAGCAAACTTTGTCGTTTGCTTTGGTTGTGCGCGTTCTTATATAAATCAGTGTGTTTTAATTATTTCGGCGAACATTCGCGACGAAAAATTTGCCGTTCGCCGGTGTTGTGCTTCAGCTTTAAAATTTGTTATTAACGAACATTCAAAAAAAAAAAACAACGATATGACATTCAAAGCGTAACGAAATATAGGAAATAAAATAAAATCAAGTTGAAGTTTAAAGGCTTGGTTCTCATGAGAGCAACGTCATTTTGGCTTCTACCTGTATTTATGTGCCTTGGAAAACAGCAACGGAAAAGTGACAAAAGAACCAAAATTTATGCTTATACATACAATATTTTGAGAAGCCTAATTGAAAAAAGAAACAAGTAATTTTTTAGCAAAACAGAACCGACTTCAATTCTCATATAAAAATTTAGGAGTACCGTTAATTTAATAATGATCGGATTTAAACCAAATTAGTATGGGACCACCTGTGACCTTTTCTTAAAAAAAAAAAAATAATTATAGAAATCGGTTAACGTGGTCCAAAGTTATGCAGTAACATACATAAAATAAGAAAAATAAAAAAAATATTCCGACGAATTGATAACCTTTTCCTTTTTGTGAAGTCGTTAAAAATATATACATATATTTAGTACATGTTGTCTGGCAGACATAAGTTGAGCAGAGATTCCTCTCATCCTGTCTTCATAAAACACTTCATTTTCACTTAATTCTCCTTCGATATTATTTATAATAAAAATGCTAATGCTGCTTTATGACACATTTACTTAAAAGTCTTGCCCACTGACCGTTGCTAACTTCCTGAAACGGGCAATTCTTTTTCGATGGTCATCTTATTGTCTTTTTTATAAACAAGACGCTGGTATTTTTAACTTTTATTTTCTTTTTTGATGGTCATGTTATTGCCTTTTTATAATCAGGCAATATTAAAAAAGAATTTTTCACCGTAATAAAAACAGTGAGTTATGATATTTGCAAATTATTTTTATTGGCAAACAGCTAACGTATAAACGTAATATATATTTCCATTATTTATCACCATTGCTGTACAGCGCCACTTGCGGCCGGATAAAGCGACAGGGATCGCAAATTTCGGAGATCGCCGAAAATCCGGATAAAATTTTAGCTTTAGCATTTTAGCGATAGCGAAAGTTGGAATCCGACTTTTGGTTTATGGTGAATTTGGTAGGTCTAAAGCAGGGGTCGGCAAACGTAAAATGGTGCCTGTGTTGGTGAATACAGGAGAACTGCTCCGCATGAGCAACCCGGTAGAAAATTGGGTTAATTGAAACAAAAATTTTAACGTAAAACATATAAAAATATTTAACATATGTATATCGCTCATTTACTTCAATAGTGTTATAACTCAAAAAAGCGAAACTCGAGAAAAACGGTTTGAATTTGCATATGGGGTATTCCATGAGTAAGTGAATCTTTGTGTCCAATTATGAAGTTACTTATTGAACATGGAAGGCTTAATGAATTTTTACTAAATTCCGCAAATTAACGTAATTAAACCAAAAATATATAGTTATATTATTGTCCCTTAATTTAGATCCTGAGGGCTGCAGTATATCGTGAGTCTTCTGTGATAAAAGTGGGTCAATCGATCTCGTATTTGGCCTCTAATATTAATGACTACTAAGCCCTTTAATGTAGACCATACTAGAAGCTCCGCTTCATAAAGAAAATCATATGTGTCCCACCCGGGACAAAAGTTGTCCGACCCGTGACAGGAGAATTTAGGATTTTTTTTTTGTAATAAAGCAATATTTTTTGTTAAGGTTTTTGGTTTGTTAGTATTGCTGGTTCTTATCTGTATAATAAAACATCTAATGCAGATAAAAATGTTAAGTAAATTCACCGACCTTCCGTAAAATATGTAAATCTGCTCCAAAAAGCAGTGTATTTTCGTCGACAGAAGAAACAATTCAGAATTTCCCCACATAAAATTAAGTTGGAACTTTTTTCTTATTTGGTAATAATTCATATATTAGAGAATTAGGTGTAGCTTTAGCTTTATCGCATGCTTAATAAAGAAAAAAAAAATTGCTGTGCAAATGTCCCACCCGCGACGATGGAATACGCCATATACTCCCATAGTAAAAATTAATACATAATTGGGTCTAGTGAGATACTGGTAATTGATACAGCTATCAAATTTTCACACAACATAGAAGAGCAAGCAGTAATCTCTGCAGACTTAGCTCAATACTTTTTTTTTTGGTTATGACACTATTTATGTAAATCTGTATCGCTGATGTACTAGAAAAGTGTCAAAACCAAAAAATATATATCGGGT